ATAAGCACCAGGTATATATAATATATCACATGATAACTGCAGTTAATCCTGCTATATGTTACATATGCTCCTTTGTGGATCACTGTCTTGTTATGTTGAAGGGGTTTGCATATTTCAGTGAAGCTATAAGTCATGCCGTGTAGGGCTACCCAAGACAGACAGGTCACAGTGGAGAGTTCTGACAAAACGTGATCCACAGGAGGAGGGAATAGAAAACTACTCCAGTACACTAGCTGTGAGAACCCCATGAACTGCATAAAAAGACAAAAAGATGTGACATCAAAAAAGAGCCCCACCCCGGGCTGGAAGGTGTCCAACATGCTACAGGGGAAGAGGCAGGACATCTTCTAATAGCTCCAGAAAAAAACAAAGTGACTGGGCCAAAGCAGAAATACTTGTGGATTTTTCTGGTGATGAGAGTAAAATCTGATGCTGTCAAGAACAGTATTGCATTAGAACCTAGAAAGTTAGGTCCATGAGTCAAGGTATATTGGACATGGTCAAGCAGAAGACGGCAAGAGTAAACATCGATATCTTAGGAATCAGTGAACTAAAATAGACAAAAATGGGTTAATTTAATTCAGATGACCATTATATCTATTACTGTGGGCAAAAATCCCATATAAGAAATGCTGTAGCCCTCATAATCAACAAAACAGTCTGAAATGCAGTACTTGGTTGCAACCTAAAAAGGACAGAATGATCTCAGTTCTTTTCCAAGACAAACTGTTCAGCAACACTGTAATCCATGTCTATACTCCAACCACTGATGTCAAAGAAACTGAAGTTGATCAGTTCTATGAAGACCTAGAAGACCTCCTAGAACTAACACCAAAAAAAGACATCCTTTTCGTCATAGAAGATTAAAATGCAAAAGTAGGAAGTCAAGAGATAATTAGAGTAAAAGGTAATTTGGGCCTTGGAGTACAAAATGAAGCAGGGCAAGGCTAATTTAATTCTGCCAAGAGAATGCACCAGTCAATAGCAAACACTGTTTTTCAACAACACCAGAGATTATTTTAGACATGGACATCACCGGATGGTCAATACCAAAATCAGACTGATCACATTCTTTGTAGCCAAAGATGGAGAAGTTGGATACAGTCAGCAAAACAAGACCTGGAGCTGACTCAGATCATCAGCTCCTCATAGCAAAACTCAGGCTTAAACTAAAGAAAATGGGGAAAACCACTAGGCCAGCCAGGTACAACTTAAATCAAATTCCCTATGCATATACAATGGAGGTGACTGGTAGATTCAAGGGATGAGATCAAGGAAACAGTGTTCCTAAAGAACTATGGACATAGGTCTACAATATCACACAGGAGGCAGCAAACAAAACATCCTGAAGAAAAAGAAATGGAAGAAGTCAAAGTGGTTGTCTAAGGAGGATTTACAAATAGCTGAGCAAAGAGAAGAAGAAAAGCAAGGGAGAAAGGGAAAGGTACTCCCAACTAAATGCAGAGTTCCAGAAAGCATGGAGAGACAAGGCCTTCCTCAACAAACAATGCAAAGAAAAGAGGAAAACAACAAACAGAAAGCATAAGACTAGAGATCGCTTCAAGAAAATTGGAAATATCAAAGGAATATTTCATCCAAAGATGGACATAATAAAGGACAGAAATGGCAAAGATCTAATAAGAGTAGATAAGATCAAGAAGAGATGGAAAGAATACACAGAATAACTGTACAAAAAAGATTTTAATGACCCAGATAACCACTATGGTATAGTCTCTCACTCAGAGCCAGACATTCTGGATTGTGAAGTTAAGTGGGCCTTAGGAAGCACTCCTAATAAAGCTAGTGGAGGGGATGGAATTCCAGCAGAGCTATTTAAAATCCTAAAGATGATGCTATTAAAGTGCTGCACTCAATATGTCAGCAAATTTGGTAAATCCAGCAGTGGCCATAAGACTGGAAAAAGTCAATTTTCATTTCAGTTTCCAAGAAGGGCAGTACTAAAGAATGTTCAAACCAGCAAACAACTGACCTCATCACCCATGCTAGTAAGGTTATGCTCATAATCCTTTAAGTTAGGCTTCAGCATTACGTGAACCAAGAACTTCCAGATGTTGAAGCTGGTTTTAGAAAAGGCAGAGGAACCGGAGATCAAATTGCCACTGTTTGCTGGATCACAGACAAAGCAAGGCAATTCCAGAAAATCATCTACCTCTGTTTCATTGACTGCGCTAAAGCCTTTGACTGTGTGGATCATAACAAATAGTGGAAAACCCTTAAAGAGATGGAGATACAAAACCATCTTACCTGCCTCCCAAGAAACCTGTATGCAGATTCAGTTTAGTTCAGTTCAGTTGCTCAGTCGTGTCCGACTCTTTGCGACTCCATCGACCATAGCACGCCAGGCCTCCCTGTCCATCATCAACTCCCGGAGTTTACCCAAACTAATGTCCATCGAGTCAGGGAAGCCATCCAAACATCTCATCCTCTGTCGTCCCCTTCTCTTCCTGCCCTCAATCTTTGTCAGCATTAGGGTCTTTTTCAAATGAGTCAGCTCTTTGCATCAAGTGGCCAAAGTATTGGAGTTTCAGCTTCAACATTAGTCCTTCCAATGAACACTCAAGACTGATTTCCTCTAGGATGCACTGGTTGGATCTCCTAGAAGTCTGAGGGCCACTCAAGAGTCTTCTCCAACACCTCAGTTCAAAAGCATCAATTCTTTGGTGCTCAGCTTTCTTTATAATCCAACTCTCACATACAAACATGACTACTGGAAAAACCATAGCCTCGACTAGACAGACCTTTGTTGGCCAAGTAATGTCTCTGCTTTTTATTATGCTGTCTAGGTTGGTCATAACTTTCCTTCCAAGGAGTAAGCGTCTTTTAATTTCATGGCTGCAATCACCATCTGCAATGATTTTGGAGCCCAAAAAAATAAAATCAGCCACTGTTTCCACTGTTTCACCATCTATTTCCCATGAAGTGAGGGGACCAGATGTCATGATCTTACTTTTTTGAAAGTTGAGCTTTAAGCCAACTTTTTTCACTCTCTTCCCTCATTTTCATCAAGAGGCTCTTTAGTTCTTCTTCATCTTCTGCCATAAGGGTGGTGTCATCTGCATATCTGAGGTTATTGATATTTCTCCCAGCAATCTTGATACCAGGTTGTGCTTCCTCCAGCCCAGCATTTCTCATGATGTACTCTGCATATAAATTGAATAAGCAGGGTGACACTATACAGCCTTGATGTACTGCTTTTCCTATTTGGAACCAGTCTGTTGTTCCATGTCCAGTTATAACTGTTGCTACCTGACCTGCAAACAAATTTCTCAAGAGGCAGGTCAGGTTGTCTAGTATGCCCAGCTCTTTCAGAATTTTCCACAGTTTATTGCGATCCACACAGTCAATGGCTTTGGCATAGTCAATAAAACAGAAATAAATGTTTTTCTGGAACTCTCTTGCTTTTTTGATGATCCAGCAGATGTTGCCAATTTGATATCTGGTTCTTCTGCCTTTTCTAATATCAGCTTGATCATCTGGAAGTTCATGGTTCATGTATTGCTGAAGCCTGGCTTGGAGAATTTTGAGTATTATTTTATTAGCGTGTGAAATGAGTGTAATTGTGCAGTAGTTTGAGCATTCTTTGGCATTGCCTTTCTTTGGGATTGGAATGAAAACTGACCTTTTTCCAGTCCTGTGGCCGCTGCTGAGTTTTCCATATTATAAAGCAGAGATATTACTTTGCTGACAAAGGTTCATAATGTCAAAGTTATCATTTTTCCAGTAGTCATGTATGAATATGAGACTTGGACCATAAAGAAGACTGAACACTGAAGAATTGATGCTTTTGAACTGTTGTGTTGGAGAAGAAAGACTCCTTGAGAGTCCCTTGGACTGCAAACCAATCCAGTCCAAAATCAAACCAGTCAATCCTAAAGGAAATCAGTCATGAGTATTCATTGGAAGAACTGATGCAGAAACTGAAGCTCTGATAATTTGCCCACGCCAGAGCATGAGATGGATGGCATCACTGACTCCACGGACATTAGTTTGAGCAAGTTCCATATGATGGTGAAGGACAGGGAAGCCTAGCAGGCTATAGTCTGTGGGGTTGCAAAGAGTCAGGCACGACAGAGACTGAACAACAGAACAAGAAAGTAAATCCTGAGTGCCCATTTTAAGGAAAAAAAAAATGTTTTTCCTATTTAGTTTTGTATCTATATGGGATAATTGTGTTTGTGTAATCACTCATGTGTGACTCTTTGCAACCCTATGAGCTGTAGTCCACCAGGCTCCTGTCCATGGGATTCTCCAGGCAAGAATACGGGAGTGGGTTGCCCCTCCTCCAGGGGATCTTCCGGACCCAGGGATCTAACCCACGTCTCTTTTTTCTCCTGCATTGGCAGGTGGGTTCTTTACAACTAGTCCCACCTATACTTTAATAGAAAATTATTTTAAAAGGAAGTAAATATCATGCAAAGCACAGCAATATAATTATGAATACTGGCCATCTTTTAGTCTCTAAGCCCTGTAGTCTTTGCCAAGTCTGTGGTCCTTGTTCCTTCTTTGGATAACAGGCTCCTTCAACAGATTTACATGACTGATTATTTCTTGTTATTTAAATATCCACCTAAATATCACTTAAATCAGAGGGGCCTTACTTGATTACTCAATCTAATAACATTGTGCCTTTCATCCATCAGTTTTTCTTATTTTGTTTTCCTTAAAAGACATAGTACCAGATGGAACTATGTTTTTAATTTACTTGTTTACTTTCTCTTTCTCCTCTCTAGAAGATAATCTTCATGAAAACAGATTCCTTGTTTTCTTTTTTTGTCCTACTGTTGCTCTATTTCTAACACCAGGTTCCAGTTAGAGATACACAGTAAATAGTTGCTGAGTTAATAAATAACTGAATTTATATAATATTAATTACAATGTTTCATTTAAAGGATAATAGAAATTATAGTAATACGAAGAGAGTAATTATACAAGTACACATAGAAACAGGTAATGTACGCACACATATTTCTACTGTTTACCTTTCCAAAAATGCTTAATCTTTTGGAGTCAATGTATGGCTGTTTCAGTAAAAATCTGAAATGAAAAAAATTATAGTTATATCTTCTTGAGTTAAATGAACCATGGAAATTCATTCTTAGCAATAAGGAAAAACAAAGACAAAACAGAAGTCAAACAAGAACTGCTTTAGTGGTTAGAACTCTGTTCATATGGAAGGGTACTATATACCAAAATCTTGCTTCTCAGAGTAGTGGAGCAGTTTGGGTGTCTCCCCTGTTAGCTTATTACAAATGTAGAATCTTGGGTCCACTACAGGCCTACTGAATTAGCATCTATGTTTTAACAATATCCTAGCTAATATCTATACGCTGTGTTAAAGAACCTATTAGCTTTCTCAGTTCACATTTTCTCACCCATGTGGGAAAGGTATTTGTGAAAGCTCAAGAACTATAATTAACTGGGAAAATAATAGACATTGTGATTACTATAAATAAATAATATTGTAGTTTATTGAAGGTCTCTCCCATTTCACAAATCCAAAGTGAATTCTAACTCTAGAAGGGGATGTATGATAATTCTTTTATTATATCAATAAGTGTGAAAGATACTTGAAAAAATAGTCTATATCAGGGGTCCCTTTCCCCAGGCCACAGATTGGGACTGGTCCATAACCTCTCAGGAAGTGGGTCACACAGCAGGAGGTGAGAGACAGGTGAGTTAGTGGAGTTTTATCTATATTTATAGTCACCCTCTCATTATTCACATTACTGCCTGAGCTCCACCTTCTGTCAGACCAGTGGTGGCAACAGATTCTCTCTGGTCCATGGAAAAATTGTCTTTCATGAAACCAGTCCCGGGGATCAAAAAGGTTGGGGACTGCTGGTCTATCTAATCAACCTAGAAAGTTGTCTAATCATTAAGACATAAACCTCTTGGCATTAATAGTAGTATATATCACATACCTAGCATTCACTATAGGACGAACAATAAGAAGATGTACACCTACTTACTTCACAGCTGCTATTTGGTCCTTTACTTCCACTGAGCCTAATCGTCGATGAATCTCTTGCAAAATTTTCAGGCCCTGAAATCCACTTCCTCTGCCATCAAACCGTGCAATGATGATGTTATCTGTGTCAACAAGTACTGAATCCCAGTCAATATGGAACTTATCTGTTACCAGCTGGCCTCCTGGTTCTTCATCCCTGAAAATACCGATACATTGACTCAAAACAAGAGCAATTAATAATGCAGTAGAAATCTAAGTTTTCTTACTTATTAGCTGAAATTATGGAAAAGACCCATGTTGACTGTTAAAATTTCAGGTAATTCTTGGTATTAAACCTGAAAATATAAATGCCATTTCCCTTTGTAAACTTTTGAATGGAAAACTCTTGAATGAAATGAAAATATAAAACAGAACTTAAAACTATTCATGAGAAACTATTTTAATTCATTTTGAAAAGAGAACAATGAAAAATGCACACACCTTTCATAGACATTTCTAAAGGATGATCATGAAGTTGACATACAGGCCCTACTTTATTGGATTTCTTACAGTGTTTTAGAAATGTCTTATAGAGGGTATACAAGGGGTAAGAGATCTGATGGAAAGCAAGATCAGTCATAGAGGCTTAAAAATAATTTAACAAGAGAGGTGCAATCCTAAAGCATATCAGATTTAAAAAGAAACACTGCATTAATATTTCCTGAATTGTTTCTTGTGACAGAATTCTCACTGAGAAGAAGTTAAGCAAAGAGTGAGAAAAAGATATTTCTCATCTCATCTCACAACAAGAAAAGGAAAAAGAGACACATATGTTTGAAAAATTTGAAAGCTAGAAGTAAAGAAGGACACACAGATTATAAAGCTTGAACATTCTCTCCAGAGGGAAAAGGTGATACAATTTTAAAATGTCACATTACAGTAGTATTTATAACTTATTCTCTTTGGAATACAGAAAGGTTAAAAAAAAGAAAAAAGCAGACTCTCATAAAAATCAGTGGGATGGGGAGGGAGTTGAGAGGGGGGTTCAGGATGGGGAACACATGCACACCCATGGTGGATTCAAGTCAGTGTATGGCAAAACCAATACAATGTTGTAAGGTAAAATAAATAACTAATCTAAATTTAAAAAATAGAATAAAAATAAAAATTTAAAAAATCGCACAGATTATCTAGGTCCAATGGCTTCTCCAGTGGTCCAATGGCTCAGAAGTAAAGAATCTGCCTGCAGTGCAGGAGGTGCAGATTCATAGGCTACAAATAGAAAATTTCACCCTACACACTCCCTTGTAAAGACACCAAACTTGCCTTCAAGTCTATGCAAATATATTGCTTAGAAGCCCTAAAATATACCAATGCACAAACTAATCCTCATTAACAAGCTTTGAGGTTATCAGGTTTGCTAAAGAAAAAACTTCTGAGCAGCAATTGGAACTAAGTAGATGCAGAGGTTGAGTGGGACCTAAAGAGGAAACAGGGAATAGGGCAAAATGTCAGACAACTAAAATGTATTGAATGCTATTATGGGATGAACTGTGTCTCAAAAGCTGTATGTTGAATCTGTAATGTGTACTATCTCAGAGTCTGACTGTATTTGGAAATTGTGCTTTTACAGTAGTGATTAAATTGAGATGAGGCTATTAGGCTGAACCCTAATCTAATCTGACCTGTGTCCTTGAAGCAGGAAATTAGGACACAGAGAGATCCTAGGGGCGGGTATGCACAAGCAAAAGAATATGAGAAGAGGATGTGAGAAGGCAACCATCTGCAAGCCAAGGAGTGGTCTCAGAAGAAACAGTACCTGCTGAACCCTAGCTTTTTGATGTCTAGCCTCTAGAATTACGACGAAATAAATTTCTGTTGTTTAAGATACCCAGTCTGGTATTTTGTATGTCAGCCCTAGTAAATTAATGCAAAGGCCTTTGAGATCTAAGCACTTAGGATCCTTTGTCTAACATTATAAACTATCCAAAGTTACTTAACCTTTCTGGGGAGTCTGTTGAACGACTACTTATTGCATGTGTTCTAATTCCTACATTGTAAATAACGTGTGCCATGGATAGATTTTAATTATGACCTACTCCATCCCTTTGTAATTCACACATTTCAGAGTGATTACATGATCCAAGCCTAGATCTGTTTTGTCCTCCTGCAATGTTTACAATCTTTATCTCTTTTATAAAATTTAATTTAAAAAATTTTAATTCATTTAATTTTTGCACAGTTAGTTCTTGGTCAGATTATTAGGAATTATGACTAAACATCTCTACATTCTTTTCCCCAGAAATTCAATTGACTAATTCAGACTGAAGTCTAAAATTGGTATTTTTTTCCACATTTCCAGATGATACTGACATAACTTGTCTACCAGTTGAGAAATGGCATGAATCATCATGCGTAGCACACTTTCTGGTACATGGAGAACATAGAAAATGCTTGCTGAACTAGATGCTTTCAGGGAAAGTAGACTCATGTAAAGCTTAAAATGAAAGGACCTTGAAAAGCTTAATAAATCCTGCATTTTGAAGCTTGGAGATTTATTGAGAATATCAGAAAGCAAAATATGATTCACAGAGAACAAGATACAAGGATTAACTTCAACATTTAAGCTCAGTTAATACATGATAGTTTAAGTCCCAGCTTCACTCTGAACATAGATAGGGGAGATACTAAAACACCAAGACTTAGTTTCCTTATCTTTAATAATGGTAAAGTACTGCTGTGCTTTCCTCAAAAAATGTTTAAGCATTAAGTGGCATAATGTACTTGAAAAATATTTTGTGAAATATAGCAAGCAATGCAAAATTACTCTGTGATTTATTGAACATTTTTCAAACTTATGATTAACAAATGATTGAAGAATTTTCAAGGGAAAAACTCAATTCCTTACTCATGCTTGCGATATCAAGAAAACAAAGTTTCACTCCTCTGCTCTGCTTTCTAAATTGCCACTTTTAACTTCAACCTTGCTTCACCTGCTTTTAATGTTTAAACAAAAAATGTTATCAATCCATTATTAGTCAATAATTTTAACATATTGCTCTAACTGGGTGTGTTCTTCTTTCTCTTTTGGTGCAGAATACAGGTATAACTATTTCAAGATTAATTATAAAAGGACATGGATTATGATGGTAAGCATTGTCAGTATAAGGAACAAGTCACAGACTTGCAGGAGCAAAGGGAAAATTTTTCACAAAGTGTTGAGCAGAAAATACTAGGTTATTTTTAATACAAATTAAGGCAAGAAAATATTACCTGAGGAGGCAGCAATAGCAAAATACATGGAGGTAAGGATGACCCTAGGAATGTACCATAGACCAAATCACCTATCATGTAATAAATGGTATCATGTTACAACTTGCAAGTGTGCTGGCCACACAGAATTGGTAAGTTTCATTTGCTTCCTCTTTGGTTTTTTTCTGTCTGCCACATCTTTTTTTCCCAACACTTCTGTTTTACTCTGACTCAGAAATCCCCGGGGACTCATATAAAGAACAGCGCTTCAAGGTTAAGAATAGAGATATACATTTTTGTTGAAAGTTTAATGACAAGAGAAACTCAATCTGTTTTAACTAGTGAAAAGTCCACAGCAATACTAAATGTGTCCACTTCCTAACACAGGAAGCAAAATCAAATTAAGATTAAAGTTTTCTTACAAGTTAAGGTCTTCAAAGGCAGACTTTGGCATCTGTTTTAATATTAATACATTGAACAATCAATCAGTAGTGTCTGTTTAAATGAAAAATACGCATTATGAGTAAATAATTAAAAAGGTAATCAAAACACATAAAATTCAATAGACCTTTAAAATGGCAAAACAAGCCACTTCTTTATAACATAACAAAACATCATCTACATCAAAAACTGAATTAAAGTGAAGAGATTTGTTCAGAGTACATGTTTGTCAGATTCACATGGTGCTATTTGAATTCATGAAAAGAGGTGAATTTATATTCAGAAGAGATAGATTTTGGTCCTGACTTTGTTACCAGTTACCCTGGCAATTATATATTCTTTTTATTTATTTTTTTCATTATAGAATAGAAAGAAAGTGCAGTCACTCAGTCATGTCTGACTCTTTGCGACCCCACGGACTGTAGCCCCCCGGCTCCTCCGTCCATGGGATTTTCCAGGCAAGAGTACTGGAGTGGGTTGCCATTTCCTTCTCCAGGGGATCTTCCCCACACATGGATTGAACCCGGGTCTCCCACACGGTAGGCCGACTCTTTACTGTCTGAGCCACCAGGTTTGTAAATAGTTAAAATCATGTAGAGTGCCTTTTCCTTACCACTAAACTTTCGGCTAGAATAAATAGAAGGCAAATATTTACCAGTGAGAGCACTTTCCACAGGAGATCTATTGAATGGCAGAATTTTTTTTTTTTTTTCCCCACAGAATTTCAAAACTGCTACATGGACATCTGGGTATCTGTATCTATTGGGTTGTGGAAGAAGGGGACACAGGGGAAATTCCATGTAGTCTTAGTTCTTTTCTCTTTCTAGGCATAGAACAGATCCACTTGATCTGCATAAGTGCTAGATCAGAGTGGGCTCACTGTGAGCTGAGTTGCGTTTTTATTTTCGATACAGTAAGATAGAAAAGAGTGTGAAAAGAAGGATAAAGAACAGAATGGAACACACGATAAGAGAGAGGAAACTGATGCTGTGATGTGTCACAGTAAATTCTTTTTTTTTTAATTTCACCATAACCAAATATTTATTTCAAGAATGCAACAGTGTTTCAATACTAAAAGTGTATTAGTGCAATTCACTATAATACATACAAAAGGAGAAAAAAACTCATAGGAGGACCTCAGGCAACATTATAGAGCTCCCATCTCTGATTAAAACAAAAACAAAACTCATAGAAAACTAAGAATGCAAAGCAAACTAAGAAACATTCTTGACTCAATATGGAAGCCACAAGAAAACAAGAATAATCACATTTACTGGCGAAAACAAAGGCCAGGAATGAGACAAGGATGCCCCTGTCTCTTCTGTTATCCAACAGCAGGCTGAACTTTTTTTTTTTTTTAATTTTTATTAGTTGGAGGCTAATTACTTTACAATATTGTAGTGGGTTTTGTCATACATTGACATGAATCAGCCATGGATTTACATGTATTCCCCATCCCGATCCCCCCTCCCACCTCCCTCTCCACCCGATCCCTCTGAGTCTTCCCAGTGCACCAGGCCCGAG